TTAAATAAATTATTCCCGAAATACTGCCGGTTCAAAAATAATTCCCGAAATACTGTTGGGGTTAACCATGGTTAAGCAAAGCCGCCACTCCAAGTGGCGGCTCTTCATCGTGCTATACAAAAGCCGCCACTTGAAGTGGCGGTTTTTATATACGTATACAAAAGCTGCCACTTCAAGTGACGGCTCTTGTGTTTAGCAAGCTGCTGAACTATTAATTACACAAATGAATCTGTAGTTACCAGAAAAGCTACTTATCACATGCCATTCTACTCAAACAAACAACCAAACATATGATTTACTAAGACAAAATACATCTGAAACACAAAACAAATCAATGAAACTCATTGCATCACGACACTTGAAATAAGACATAAAAGTTATAATAAATCCGGTGTTTCACAAAATGAATCGATCTGCCAGTGCATGTTACAACTCTCACACAATAATACAAATACAAAGATCATAAGTCAACGTGATCATCATCATCATGAAGTTCATGTGGCTGTGGCTGTGCTCGGGGGCGCCTGCGCTGGTTACGAGGCTGAAGAACAACTCTATCACGTCGGACTGCCTGAGAAGACCCTGTTGTGGATGCGGATGCGGTGGAATACTGAGAGTCGGCCATATATCCATAATCTACTCGGCCCAATACATCAGCGCACAATGCAACAATGCCCGGACAAGCCTCATGGTATCCCTGTACATCTACTGTCTCATCAAGTACAACAGTCGCACTGTCATGGATGCTACGCAAAGCCCGTGTCTGTAATACAAACATGGTTATTAGTGAAAAACAAATGAATAAATAAATAAAGTTATTTTAGTGACTATTGTTTACCATTATATGAAGAGCGACTGAGCTAGGCTGGTAATGATCAGTGGGTAGACAAAAACTGTGAGAGATGAACACCCGTGTGATGGTGTAATATCATCTCATGTAATAAGCAGAGGCTGTAGGGACTAAGGACGAGGTCCCGTGCACTATATACGCCGCTCTCCCATCCCACATCGTGATATACTGAATATGACGCATCCCCCAATCTTCAGTGTGCTTCCCTCGTCTGTCAATCTTGTGTAAGTACACAGATGTATCACAAGCTAGGTTCAGGAATAATCTGCTGCAACCCGAACTATCGTAGTACGCGATCAGGAAAATGATGCTCTACTACATCAAAACATATCAAGGGCACACATGCTCGCCATATCTCAGTGTGCTCTCGGCCAACAGGAGGCAACAGTCCAAGAATCTCATGAGTGTACGACATCCACGTCATCTATAAAACAAAACAGTGTTACATCATAGTTTATAAAAACGTAAAACAAAGTACTTACATGTAATGATATACAAGATAAACGTGATCATCACACATGCGATCTAAAGCATCTCGGTAGTACTCTAATCCAGCGGCGGGTGACGTGCGTGTGACGTGAGCAAATAGCCAGCTATAAAACACTACTACATCAAAAGTCTCTAGAATGGGTAAATACAAGACCTGCATCTCATTAACGCTCTTGTCCGCAAATGTGGAGGCTCCCATAAGCATCAAAATGTAGGCTCTGGCGTACTGCTGCACAACAGTGTCATCAGCATCAACAGGTAAATCAGTAAAATGTTGTCTCAACCAAGCCATCCTCAAGGTGGACCCCCAAATATCTGTCCTAATGTGTAGCCGTACTCCCAACAATCTGTGTACCAAATCAACTCACACTCTACACGCAGTCCCAGTAACTGCCCGACCCTCGATGGGTAGACCTGCCAATACAACCACATTTCCCAAAGTGATAGTGACCTCACCCACCGATAAATGGAAAGTGTGAGTCTCCTATCTCCAACGCTCAAGTAGAGCGGTAAGTAATGCTCTATCTATATACAAAGTACACTCTAACCATGTTAAGCAGTTGTTTCTTATCATCAAACTCTTGCCCAACCTCGAATTCACCATCTGCAGAGAAGCGACTGGAAGTTGTACAACCCCTCCATGATTCATCAAATCCCGCAGGGAGGTCATCAACTTTAGTGTAGTGGCTGGATGGAGAATTGCCACTTACGAGATCACCAACATCTTCATCTGAATCTGTTAGTGTGTCATGATTCACATTTTCATCTGCATCGTCGTCGATGTGCTGTGAATCCAGAAACGTTGCATCACTGTTCACGTATCTTCCATTCTCCTGTGCAACCATATTCATCACAACTTGAACACTTGTGGATGGGTAAGATAATGACAGGTTGTCAGATTGTATGGGCAACACAGTCGCTTCTTCAACATATATCTCCATCGGATGCATAGCAAGATTCGTGATCAAGGTCCACATCCCCGTAACGACTTCGTCGTCAGCAAGAGGCATCAACATGTATGACCCACCATGAACAAGATGTTTAACTTTCAAATCCAACTTGTTCACACGATTGATGGATGTGGCGGTATAAATTTTATTCATTAACTCAGCCACATCCACCCCATAGGAAACAACAATTATCGTCCGACTCCCCACTTCATAATGAATTCCGTTCGACTCCTCGATTATATTTCCTCCCCAATGACACACAATGGGGAAGTTTGGAGACATATTCTATCAAAAATCATTCCAAAAAAATGTGATTTATGTCGCACATTGAAAACTCAACTACTAATTCAAACAAGGAAAAATGGCAGGGGTATCACTACCCGTGTTTTGATTTCCCAAAACATGACCCTTTTACATTTTGCCAAAAATATGACCCTTTTCTTCCAACCCACTTCCCCTTTCTTCCATCGCCAATCTCCATCTGCTCGCGACATCTGACCTCCACCATCTGCCACACAACAAAACCTTCTTTCTCGACATCTTCCCTCTCACAACTATCGCACCTCCATCGCCCAGGTCGTCGGCTCAACCTTCTGGCGGCTGCCTCTACCGGCATCGCACCGCCATCGCCCCAGGTCTCCGCTATCATTCTACTTCACCGCCTTCGTTGCTCCGGTTATCTTCTTCTTCTCCTTCTTTATCCCTGTCCGATTTATGAAACAATGACAAAGATGGACTGGCATCAACATGGTAGAAAGGCTAGAGTTTCCAGATCTGTGGTGAAGTTGCCGACGGCTAGGGTGTAGGTGCTTGGTTTTCAGATCTGGTCGACGGAGGCGATGGTGTGGCTAGGTTTTGCCTAGGCAAAGGGGGGAGAGGTGGTTCAATGGTAGGGGAGGGAGACGAGTTGCAGAGTTTTGGGCTGCGCGGGGTGTGTGGTGGGGTTGGGGTGTGGTGGCCGACCGGAGTGGTCGCAGCGGGGGCGGAGGTGGTTCATTGGCAGGGGTGGGAGGCGAGGGTAGGGTCTTGTGCAGCGATTGTGTAGGGTTGGGGTGTGGTGGGACTTGGGTTGGGGTGCGGTGGCTGGCTAGAGTGGTTGCATCGGGGGTGGAGGTGGTTCAGTTGCAGTGGTGGGAGGCGATTGTGCTGGGCTGGGGTGGGGTGTGGTGGTGCTAGGGTGTGGTGGACTGGAGTTGGGGATTTGGGTTGGGTGCGGTGGCCGGTCAGAGTGATCGGGGCGGAGGTGGTTCAATGGCAGTGGCTGGCGGATACAGTCATTGGACGGGCGAGTGGTGACAACAGTCATTGGAAAAGGGTGAATGGCAGTCACTGGCCGGGGGCGGGGGCGACAGTCACTGTGACAGTCACTGGGCGACAGTCATCGACCGAGTTTAATGGATTACTTTGGCAGGAGTCACTATGACCTGAGTCAATGTGGCGGCGGACAAGTCGGGGATGGCGGCAGTCACTGGCCCGGTGACAGTCACTGTGACGTCGGAGTCACTGCCCGGAGGCGACGGTGCTGGGGTCGGTAGCCCGGAGGTGCTGGTGACTATTATTTAACATGAACTCCTAATCAAATGCATAAAAGAAATTTATTAAGTACAATGAATAAAATGACTGTTAGTCATATATTTGGAAATTTTTAAAGCATATCATACTTTTGTCTTTTCTATTTATTTTAGTAATATTGATAAAAAAGGCCTTCAAACAAACTGTATTAAATCATATGTATCATTTTTATGATTTCATTCAATTACAAGATCTGATAGATACATATTAATGATGTGCTACATTACTCTTTTCCAAACTACCCGTATATCAAACTCAATCTAACCAACACAATAAAAAAATCAAATTCTACAAATTATATAAAATCAAGCATAATAACTAAATTACCAACTTATATATCTCATAACATCAAATACAAAAAAAATAATCCAAAAAAAGAGCGATTTTCGAACAAAAATTTAAAAAACCCTAGATTTAGCAAAATAGATGAATTACCTCGATTGAAACAGTTGAAAGTCGGTAGAATGGAGCACAAACGACCCCGGGTACACCGTGTCTCTTTTCACTTTGATTCAAAATCAATCCAACCAACAACAAAAATTCAAATTATACAAATTATATAAATTCAATCATAATAACAACATTAAGAACTTATATATTTCATAACATCAAATACAAAGATTTTTTTAAAAAAAAAAATACTAATTTCGAACATTAAATTAAAAAAACCTAGGTTTAGCAAAAGTGGTGAAATACCTCGATTCAAACGTTTAAAAGGTGTTAGAATGGAGCACAAATGACCTTGGGTACACCGTGTCTCTTTTGTGTTTGATTTGAGCTTCCTTTGGAGGCGTTCTGACTGGAATTGGAATCACTCGCACCTTGTTCGTCATTCGTCGTTCGTGCAGAGGGAAGAAGGGGTGTTTTGCCATCCGTGTTCGTCGGCTGGGAAGAAGGGGTGTTTTCTGCAAATTAATGACCCGCCACTCGAAGTGGCGGCTTTTGTGATACAGGAGAAGAGCCGTCACTCGAAATGGCGGCTTTTCTTACCGTGCTTAATTCCAACAGTATTTTGGAAATTATTATTAACTGAGCAGTATTTCTGAAATTTTTTATTTAATTAACATTATTAGGAAAAAACTCATAAATCTGAATAACATACGGAGTAATTTTATTTTTTTACTCAATGTGAAGTCTAAGTCATTCTTTCCTACAAGGCTACAGCGTGATACTCCGGAGTATTAAGCAACACAAAATCCAAACTTCGCCTAAATGAAATCAAACAATGCTTTGTAGGGCTCAAATTCATCCACGGTGGGAACTCTTCCGATTCGCCACACGCTACCAGTGCTTAGCCGAAAGTAGCAGGAGCTAAAAGAAGCCAAACAATTCTTGGATTAAGAATGCATTTTTGCAGAGCAACTTCTGCCGCGGCTACCTTGTCTTGGACAGCCTCCATTTCTCCTCCACTGCACATCTCCCACTCCTTCCCTGTGTGTAAACAAGATCCAAATGGCACATAAATCTTGATTTTTTTAAACACTTTCGACTTAAACTTTTATTTTACACTTACCACTCGGTGATTTTCAGGAAAAGGGGCACAAGAAACCGAGAGTTTGGTGTCTCAGCTCCAATGGTGAATTTGTTTCTTTAAATAAGGTACTATGTTGGCTACTTCCTCAAACTGCTAGCATGTGTTCTGTTCATCATTTGATGAGGTTGAACCATTCTCTTTGTTCATCAGCATTTCTCTTGGTTCCTTTTATCAGTTATGTTGATAAGTTTTTGTTTTATTTTAATTGCATAGTAAATCAGCAACAGTTAGTAGTAAGGGTGGGTAGGTGAAACCAAAAACCAAAAACCAAATTGAAAAAAACCGAACCTCAACCAAAACAACAGAACCGTAACCAAACTCAAAAAACCGAACCGTAGTTCTTTGGTTTCGGTTTTGGTTTTCACATCTCAAAACCGAACAAGCCGAACTTTTTAAAACTTGCTATTTTATTTATTAATCATTAAGTATAATATTTTGTTTAGTTCTTAATTCTTAATTCTAGAAAATTAATGTTTGATACTAGATTTATTATGATTTGCAAGATATTGACATTTAATATTTATGATTTAATTAAGTGAAACGCTTGTACATATACTTAAGTCTATTGCTATAATACTAATATGTTGATATTTTAAATCGTAATTTACATTTTACTTGTTGTACTTGTTGCATGACAATTATATTTTGTTGATATATCATTTGTTATATATGTTTGTTATCACATACTTTTTATATGGAACAAGTATGTATTAATATAAATTATACATTATCTAAAAAGAAAGTAGAATAAGTTATTTACTATTAAGAAAAGTCTTTTAGTAAAAAAACAAAATGAATTAGTGGACACAACATTTACAAAAAAAAAATTAACTTGCAAATACACTATATATGGAGTATAATTCACAAATAAAGTCACACGTTTAATTAATTTAGAAAATGTTTAAATTCGTATACACGTACTCTCTAATTCGTTGCTTGTAACTTGTAAGTGCATTTGTTTCATCTCTCCTTTTTAATTATGTTTTTGTATTAAATTACTATTAATTATAGTCTTTTTTTTCGTTTTTTTTAATCAACAAAAATATTTTGGCAAAAATCTAAAAAACTGAAACCGTACCGAAATAAACCGAACTGAAATAAACCGAACCGAACAAACCATGGTTCCAAATTTTTGAACATAAAATCAAACCGAACCGAACCTTTTACGTTGGTTCGGCATTAGGTTTTAGGTGAAAACCGAACCATTTGAACCGAACCCACCCCTAGTTAGTAGTGATAAATGTGAATATGTGATGAAGACTAATATAATTGTCCATAGGATGTTTGATCAGCTATATAGAGTGTAAATGTTTCTACACACAGAAGAGTTATCAAGAAGCCTAATTACCATGAGGTAAGTTGCGTAATCTACATTAGGAATGTAGCATCTTAATTAATATGAGTACATTTATGATTAAAAAGAAGTATAACAGAACATACACATTAAAAAACGAAAACTTGGAGGGATGTCAAATGTGTATGTGTGATGTTTATATCCATTTTGGGATGAGGAATCACATTTAAAAAAAAGAAATTATTTTTAGAATAAAAATAGTTAAGCTTTCTTTTTTAGGAATGCTGTATACTCATATTTATTGGGAAAAAACAACTGTCCAATATGTAGAAATGTGTTACTCCTTCCGTCCCTTTTTATTTAGCCAAATTTGACTTTTCAAGTCAATGATGTTAAACTTTGACCAATTATGTATTTATATACGGTAGTATTGATAATATGAAAATGTTCTTTGTTAAAAATACTATCATAAGAGTATAATTTATTAAGTTTCACATAAATAATTAGTTAAAATAATGGGTCAAAATTTACCACATCTTTGATGGGAAAAGTCAAAGATGGTTAAATGAAAAGGGACGGAGGTAGTATGTTTTAGTCCTGTTCTGATTGTGTAAGCTTTTAGTATCGGAAAATCACACTTGGGTACATTGTTATAATATGCCAACCTCGTTTTGTTCAGGAAAGCAAGATGATTGTATCCGTGACGGGGGCTACTGGATTTATTGGTAAAAGATTAGTGCAGAGATTGCATGACGGTACTGATACTTTCATTTGACGTTTACATGTTCTGTTCTTGTAGAACTATAAAGTTGCTTAGCAAGTGTACCTTGACTGTGTAGTTTTTTTTTTCTTGGTATAGTTGTTATGAATTATGATAGATTGTTCCAAATTTGCATGATTTGATTACTAAATAGGTAAATATGTTGTTTTGTCTACCTTTCAAGTGTAGAAAACCATCAAATTTGTGTGCTTACGAGGTCTACATCAAAAGCCCAATCAATTTTTCCTGGTAAGAAGGTAATGGTTATTTTAATTTCATATCTAAGTTCACCTCTTTTGCATGATACCTCCTCTGGCACTAAATCAGAATCTCTCTCACTTTTCTGCTACCCCTCTTTTTGCAAATAACTCTCTGCTATTTTGTACCAAATGTTTGCTTTAAAATTAAATGTGCAGAGAAAGACTTTCCAGCAATTGTAATTGCAGAGGAGCCGCAGTGGAAAAACTGCATTGAAGGTTCTACTGCTGTTGTAAATCTGGCTGGATTGCCCATAAGTACAAGATGGTCAGCAGAGGTGTAAATTTGTTCTTATGATAACAACAAAAAAACAAATATTTCACATATTTATGATGCATAATGCTTTATCTGTGAGATTATTGTTTTGTTAATATCCTACTGTAACAGATCAAAAAGGAAATTAAGGATAGCAGGATCAAGACTACCTCAAAGGTTTTATTTTTCCATTTGCTTAGGGTCCATTTGGAACTCAAAAAGTGCTAAGAAAGAAAATATAGGAAAATATTGAAGGGAAAAATAAAAATAAAGCTTAAGCATAAGAAATCTGAAGACACAAGAAAAAAATCCTTAGCTTTAATCATATTTCATTTTTATTTGTGTTTTCAAGGGTAAATCCTCAAACATAAAAAATCAATTTTTAAACACCTATCCCCTTTCCTTAGCTCTTAGGGATCCAAACATACCCTAAATAAATTTTGACAGGCAACGATAAAACAGCCAACTCATTTACTAGTTTCCAAGCTCATTTGTAACTGAAAATGGCAAATCTATGAGTTACCTTTGGTGTGTTCTTAGCTGGAGAATCTCCATTTATCTGTAGGTTGTAGATTTGATAAACAATTCATCAGATGGTGAACGTCCTAATGTTTTGGTTAGTGCAACTGCAGTTGGTTATTATGGTATGCAATTCCCCTTCCATATTAAACTCTATAAACACTAATTTTACTGCTGCATTTTGAGTTGTATTACGCTTGGGTGACCGGTTTATGATAAATAAAAATAGTGAGCAAAAAATGTGATTTTTATTGTGCAATGACTGGTAGTATTTTTGTATTGATTATAAAATTGTGCTATTTATATAGTGATCGCAGTGACTATGATGATATTTTATTTTACTTACATGGTAGTTTTATTGCATTGACTGGATTGACCATATAAATGTATTTGTATTCATGAATTTTGTTTTAGTATTAGTAGGAAAACCCTCTTATATGTGTGATTATGTAATTTAATTGATTTCAAATCAAATCATAGGTACAAGTGAGACACAAATTTTTGATGAGCAAAGTGCATCAGGAAATGATTACTTGGCTGAGGTAATCCATTTACTATGTAAAGCTGAAGGATACAAATTAACAATTCATCCTTGGTTGTTTATTGTAATTCATAACCAACTTTTAAAGAAAAACAATTACTAGGTTTGTAGAGAATGGGAAGCCAGTGCTCTGAATGTTAGTAAGGATGTCAGAGTAGCACTCATCCGAATTGGTGTGGTCCTTGGAAAAGACGGTGGAGCTTTAGGTACGGTTTCATGTGTTTACATCCTATGAAAATGACTTCTTGATCTTTTACAAGGGTTGATTGAGTAATCATGCGCTCACACAATGGTGTATGCGGAAGGGATAATATATTCAACTCTTCCTTCTCCGTTGAAGGAGATGGATTTTAACAATGTACCTTAAGAGTCCATTTGGAATCAAAAGAAATGTTAGTGAAAGAAAATAGGAAGGAATATATAGAGGAATTTTAGAACAGAAAGGCTATGCTCCGGTCCTCGCTGAGGGAACCAAAACGTTGAGGGAAATATGAATGCCTTTAAACTCAATAAATCAGTTTGTCTTTCAAATGTCTGTTCAAACTTCAAACTCATTTCATTTAAATACATTGTCTAAGAAATCTAAACATATGCAAGATTTAAAAGTTTTGGATTTCTTTGGTATTATCCTAGCTAAAAGCAATATAAAAGAACCATTTTTATTATGGTGTGTTTGGGACCCAGAAAATGCAAGGTAAAGAAATAGGTAGGGAAAGAAATGTTGAGGAAATTCATTTTTAATTATTTTTTGTATTATATAAATAATAAACAATCTAAACTAATGTAAAAAAAAGTAAAACATCACTCATATTTCATTTTTGAAAATAAATCCGAACATAAGAAAATATATTTTCTATACATTTACTTTCCTTTGTTTATCATTTACTAGGATCCAAACGTAGCCTTGCTTATACCCCATTTTCCAAGATCCAAACAGTCTTAAGATACAAGGGGGAGATATTCCAAAATTTAAAAGGAATTGATTGATATGGGGTTGGGTAAAAGAGATTGATCTTAACACATTAGGCAACATCTGCCTGCTAAAATAGAAACACATACTAACAATTGTGTATCTCCCTTTGAAGCTAAAATGGTCCCGCTCTTCATGATGTTTGCTGGGGGACCTATAGGGTCTGGAAACCAGTGGTATGCATTGTTTTTTAAACCACTTATTTCCTTCTACTTGACATTGATTGGTTGCTTGTCACATAAGATCTGCCAGATCAAGATGTCACGGTTCTGATCCGCATTTTATGAATGCTATGCAGGTTTTCATGGATTCATATTGATGACCTGGTGAACCTCATATATGAAGCACTATCCAATCAATCATACACAGGTCTTTGGAACAACTGACCCTTTTCCTAGCAAAAAGAGTGAAGTACTTCGTATATTGTTGCTTCTGGTTACTGTATGAATTATAAATAAAGACTTGGTTATTATATCCAAACAGGAGTCATTAACGGAACGGCACCAAATCCTGTAAGGCTGGGAGAGATGTGCAGCCAGTTGGGATCTGTTCTAGGCCGCCCGTCGTGGCTTCCAGTGCCAGATTTTGCTCTGAAAACAATTCTTGGTGAAGGTGCTACTGTGGTAAGTACTAACAAGCTCGTTTTCCGCAAGTTCACTTGTTGAAATATTTGCCTTATACTACGTAGCAGATTACCAGTTCGGTGTAAAACAATAGAATTAGTATATAAAATCTTACGTTAGTCGTATTATTTTAACCTATCCCAGACCTTAATATTATTTAAAGCCATCCCGATTGTTGTATAATGTTTGTTTTGCCCATTTATCTATCTTCAAGTTCTTCTGTATGGTATGGGCTAAGGAGCCTGTTGGTTTGATATAAAATAATAAAACTCATGTATAAGGTCATAGGTGTTGCTCCTTTAAGGTTAATTAGAATGGAACCTCATTTCGTATGACGTGTTTGGCTTATGTCAAAGGCCCTTTCTCGTGCTGAAAACGCTGCTGTTTATAGGTTTTGGAAGGACAGAAGGTGATTCCTGCTAGAGCCAAGGATTTGGGCTTTGAATTCAAATACAGTTGCGTGAAGGATGCTTTGGAAGCAATAATGTCATGAAGGGCTGCCTAATGCCTTCTGGTGCTGCCTGTCACACACACATATCATAATTCTTATTAGAATGATCATAATCTTTATAATGTAGTGGCCAACTTGAATTTCGTTTGCCAACTTTTCAAGAAAGAGCTTCCGTGTACTACTGTTTTGTCACAGATGTTGCAATGCCCAACTGGCCAACTCTATCATATGTATTTCGCTTACTTTTCCATCTGTATACGGATTATGGATTCTTTATTCTGAGAGAGTAAAAGTCTTGGCTAATACTGTTATTTGGGTCAAACCCAAATATCAATTAGTTCTTCGTTAACGGATTTTAAACTTCCAACAAAATTCTCTCTTTTGTTACTTTTTCTAAACTAAGAATAAATTCTGGGGCCTTTACCAATAAAAGAACTTCTCTGTTTTTCTGTAAAATGAAAAACATGTTTTCCAAATTTGGGAAAATAGAAACATGTTTCATATATATTCAGTACAGATGAAAAAAAGGGTTGGCCGATGTACGAAGGCATCTCTGCAAGGCGGATGGTTCAAGGAACGGTCCCACTACAACTCTACAAGGGAGCAAGTTTTCCCCTATTGATTTTTTACAAGAAACCGTTCCCATTACAAATGAGCTTAATTATAAATGGCTTTGTTTACTTAATTACTAACTGTCTAGAACTGTAGTCATGTTGCCCCCGTTTGAGGTGCTTTCGAGTGAAATATAGAGTTATTGTCACTTTTAGTCCTCCGACTATTATGTCATCGACACTTTTGGTACTTGACTTTGATTTTTTTCATTTTTAGTCCTCGACTATTGTGCTATGGATGGCCTCGGTTCGGGCCGGGTCGGGCCTCGGTCCGGTTCTGACCGGGCCTTTTTTTTGGAGAAGTGAGGCCTGGAAACCGGCCCGGGTAGCTCCGGGCCCGGTTCGGGCCGGTTCACTAGGTGGTTACCGGGCCGGGTACCCTTTTTTTAGTTCTAATTACTTCCTACCCCCCACATCCCAAACCCCTCCAAAACACCCAGTCCAACCCATTTACCTTTTAAAAAATTGAAAAACAAAAAAATGGACCGAACCGGGCCCAAACCGGCCGGGCCGGTTCGTGATTTGGGAGGCCCGGGAACCGCCTCTCTACAACTCCGGGCCGGGTGGTCCGAACCGGTCACAAAACCGGAGACCGGGCCGGTCCGGGTCATAACAGTGCCGGTTCAGGCCAGTTACGGTGCGGTTAACCCGGCCCGAGTCCATCCCTATATTGCGCTAGAGACACTTTTGGTACCCGTCTATGAAATTTTCCATATTTAGTCCTTCAACTTTTATAAAAGTGACACTTTTTTGTCCTCCATGTATTGTGTCGAAATCATAATGGGAAGACTAAAAGTGTCAATTTGACAATAGTCAGGGAACTAAATGTGGGAAATCTTGAAGTCGGGACTAAAAGCGTCTCTAGCACAATAGTCGAGAACTAAAAATGAAAAAATTAGAAGTCTTGACAATCGAGCATGTCTTTGGAATGTTTTTCTTGATTTTGGGATATATGTTATTCTGAACTAGACACCCCCTGAGAGTCGAATAACTAATATCCACACTGGCAGAATGAGGGTTGAGGGGCAAGCTGGACTGGAATAAAGATTTTTTTAGATAATAATGGAGTCAAAATTTTACAAAATTTGAGGTACAAATTTTTCTTAGGGCCTTACTGTCTTAGCAACGCCCAATTTTCGATCTAAAAGGCGTTAGGGGCTAGTCGGACGCTAGCCCATCGTCTAGCGTCTAGGCAGGAACTAGTCGGAGACATAGAAATTATAATTTATCAATATTTTTACATAAATATGATTAGTAATGTTGTGTTTATGTGTGTAAAAAATACACACACATTAACATTATTACATTAACATGCATGAATGAGAGAGTTGTCACATTTAATAATATCTTATACGTACTCACTTAACTCATTATGTAATAAGAATTATTACATAATAATATAAATTTAAGATTATATATTAACATGTATATTTTTTATCTTAACCTTCAATTAGTAGTATTCTTCATATACAAAATCAAATGTTCGACAAATCTAGACATCTAGGCAGCCAATTAAGCGCTCACGGCGGGCAACTAGGCACCCTAGAGGCCTAGACGACCGACTAATTCACCTAGGTGCCAAATCAATTAGTCGGAGCACCTAGACGAAAATCAGGGCGTCCGGGCACCGCCTAGCGCCTAGGGGAGACTAGTCGGAGGCCTAGAATGATTTTTAGAATAATGGCTAGCCCTTTAGTATCAAACTCTTAACTACTAACCAACCAAAGGATCACAATTCAAGTCTCCCAGACTTCAGAGTGACCTCTGGTGAAAAAATTATTGGGAGATGTGTCAATGTAGAGGACTGATCTTGGCGGGAAACTAGCAGCTCTGTTGAACTGGTCACTCCAGAGCCAAGTTGCACATCTAGCTACTTAAAAGAAAGAGTCACAAACTTCTAACTGATACTTGGTTGCATCACACAACATATTCATTGCATGAAGATCAAATACATGTGGGAATTAAAGGTAACTCCCTAAATTTCAAAAGGAGAATCCACAACCCCCCACCCCAACCCATGAATATATATAGAAACATATGTATTCGAGATATTACGACTTCTCCGCAATGGGCTGTGTGAAAATTAACCCACATGCACAAACAATAAAATGTTCACTGTTTGAGCATTTTATTCAATCTGTATATCTGGCCACCAAAGAAAGACAAGGAATCCTTTGCTTGCTAATGGAAAACCGTTGTGTATTTCTACTGTAGCCTAATTATAACTGTTTTCCTTCAGCACACAAGAGTTTGGAATACCCTGCAAAAACTCCATCCTTATAGCGGGCTCTTGGGAAAATCGGCCCAAAACAGCAACCGTGGCAGTGTTACTCCCAACTTTTTCGATACCTCGAGATATCATGCAAGTGTGACTCGCTTCCACAATTACCATTACATCCTCCCCTAGAATCGAAGCAACACTCTCTGCTATCTGTCTCGTTAGCCTCTCCTGCACTTGCAGTTTATAACCATGAAAATGCACTATAGACTGCAGCATTGGTTTGACTCCTACCCCTCCACCTCCATTATTTGAACAGAAGTATCCTATATGCACAACCCCATAAAATGGAAGAAGATGGTGTTCACACTGTGACCAGAACGTCAAGTTCACTTCCGACCTGATCTCTATTTTTGGATCCAAAAGCTCCCTAATGAATCCTCCATCCGGTTTCTCCATCTCCAAATCAGAACTCTTAAAATCCGTGAACCACTTGACAAAACGGGTCGGCGTTCCTAAAAGCTCTTTCCTGAATGGATCTTCACCCAGAGACTGAAGAATGGACCCGACCGCGTTAGTCATAACCGAATTTATTGGCGGCAGAGGCGTCTTGCACGAAACCTTGGAGGGACAAAAGGGTCTTTCACCATCTCTCGCGTCTAAACATATTCCTCTGAGTTTTAAAAGGCATAGAAAGTCGGACCACACATAAGCTTTCTCATCCTCAAAAACTCCGGACCCGGAAGTGACATGGACCTTAACCCACCCGTGATGGAGATGGAGGTGGGAGCACTGTAAGAGGAGGGCGACACCCGTTGGATTGATTGCTTGTTGTAAGGCGCCACACACCTGATCGCATAAGCGTTGGGGGTTCTGAAGGCGTTTGGCGAAAATGTCGGCCACGCGGGAGAGCTTGCTGAGTCCTACAACACGGTGTTCAGAGGGGACGTATCCCACATGGCACTTGATCTGGAAGGGGAGTAAGCAAGACTCGCAGTAAGAGAAGAGATCTATGTCACGGACAATCACAAGCCCACCGGCCCCACCCGCCTGACCCACCCCTGTTCCCAACCCAACTTCTGGGAATAAAGCGCCGTGTACAACATCATTCACTTTTTGTCTATAGCCTGTAAAAAATATGCACAATAAGTTATCATATGTGAGTCATGGCAATTTCTTCATCTCTGATTGTTTAAAGGGGCAGAAATTTATCAAACATGTCCCTACAATTGCTATTTACAATGTTTTCAGTGCAATAATATATAGAAGAATTATCAAGGCTCGGATGTTGTAATAGAAGAATTAGTACGTGATCAGGACATGTTTTTGGCTTATTAGCCAGATTTTCTACCGAACACTAACTTACTTGAATTGGATTGCTGAATGAGATGATGATGACGACGATGATGATGATAAAAGTAGTAGTAGTAAAAAAAGGAAGATATGATACTTCTACCCATATTTTTAGGTGTAACACGCATCAGTACTCAACAACAACAACAACATCCAAGCCTTAATCCCAAAAGAATTCAGGGTCGGCTAACATGAATCGATCTATGATATCGATGTCAATGCCAAACAGAGAAGACGGACAAGAAGGGAAAAAAGTAAGATAAAACGGATAACATAAAGAAAAATACATATAAGATAACAATAACATAAGAATATAAGAAAGATAAAAGATAGAAAGATCTAGAAGATAAAAATAACATTAGAATATAAAAAGATAAACAAGATAAACGATAAAAGAGAAGAGAGAGGAACGGTAGAAAAGACATCAATCGTCCACACGGATGTGCGGCCTCCACTTTGCTCTCTCCAAAGTCATACAAGAAGACGCATATCAGTTCTAATTCCTCTAATACAAGTCTGTTTGGGTCTTCCCCTCCCTCTCTTCTATGCCTCTTCTCCTCAGACCTCAAGTCGTCTAAAAGGTGCATCACTTTGTCTTCTACGCACATGCCCAAACCACCGCAAACGAAACTCCTACATCTTATCTTCTATAGGTGTTACTCCCACCTTTTGTCTGATTATCTCATTCCTCAAACGGTCTTTTCTGGTATGTCCACACACCCAACGCAACACACTCAACAAATTAAGAAAATATATTCTTAATAAACTTTTAGTAAATTGAGAAAACTAAGACAGATTTAACATTACCAAATCAGGCTCTAATCACGCAGTTCTTCTAAAGAAGAGTAGGAGGTTTCTTCAAAAGCTAGAAAAATATTGCAACTTGCATATTAATCATTTTTTGTAATTTCAAATTTTATAAAGAGAAGAATGAACTTCCAAAAGCTTATAGTAGATAATCCAGTAGAAATCCATGCCATGATCTATCCTATCTAGTTTCGTAAAGAAGACATTGTTCCCCATGTAGGAAACATAAAACCACTATTTTACCTTTGTACTGATGGGTGCAGATGGGTTTGGGTTAACTTGTCCGGCTGGCCATCTAGGCCGATGACGATGCCATTCACGAAGCACCTCATCTTTGTTAACCCGTTTTAGGAATTTAGTAAAGATTAACAATATAACATTACAAGTACTATTATAGAATATAGACCAAAGACGCCTCACCATTCACAAACCTCTTCATTTATAAACTTTCTATTACTGGGATAATACAAGAGAATAAAGGATACCCCTAAACGAGTCTAGAAATGTTCGGATATAATTTTAAAAACTGATTGTGCTCCCTCATTAGCACTTACAAACAGAATCTAATTGTGGGATGTTTGGCTAAAAAACATGGACTTTGCTGCATTCAGTGGCGTATCCAGAAAAACTAGTGAGTGGGGGCGAACTTACCTTATATATTATCCCACACACGTTACAGACTCACCACACTAAGAAAAATATTGTAAAGTTACTTTTGAATAACAAAATATTCACTGAGCAAAAACTTAATTTATGATTTAATACTTAAAAATTCATATTAAATAAATTTGAGTTTGTTAGAAATAAATTCTAAGCACAAGACGTTTGTAATCTGTTTAAAATTATGTTGAAAATTATGTTAATAAATAAGTGAATCAAATAAGGGAAGGATCATATATGTACTTAGAATTAATTTAAGATACGAATTCACAAGTATATTAAAAAATCAGTTTATATTATTTACAAGAATCAACGTAAATGTTAAACTTTATGAATCAAACTAAAATTTTGATTATATTGAATTATTGATATAGTTTAAATCTTTCTAACAGGACAAAAGTTAATTTTTTATGTTAAGTCATTTTAAGCCAAGTACCTTGTGGTCTGATGAAATCACTGTAACATTTCCAAAGAGGAGGTCACAAGTTCGAATCTCATCCGAGTTCAAGGATGTTGGCCTTAACAGAACATATATTATAATATGTTAGAAAGATTTGCCAAATAAAAAGATGTTAAGCCATTTTAAATTTGTTTAAAGCTTCAAAAGGGGAAAAAACAAAAACAACTCAAGACTGAAGCCCACCGGTTTTGAACCCTGGACCTTAGGAGATAACAAAGCTACACGCATAAACGCTTCCGCTCCACCATTGCGACTTTTGAGTACAAAGCGTGTTATTAACATTAGAAATATCTAATTTAAGAAACAAATATATATACATAACTAAATATTGGATATATATAGAGGGGTTGGGTAGGGGTTGAGTGGGGGCAGCTGCCCCCCTGCCCCCACGTTGGATACGTCCCTGGCTGCATTGACTCTGCTCCTTCATTAACGGACACAAGCACAAGCAAAAACTCCTTTCGTTCACATTTAGTGGATCATATATGGACTAACCTTCTATATTCGTAACATTGCAGTGACAAAAAGTTGGCATATATGAAAAGGTAGAAAGGAAAGATAAAATTTGAGGATTCTTATGTCTGGATGTTTATGTCTTTTAATATGATAGTTGCTTAAAATGAAAAGTAGAACATGCAATAAAAAACTTTCAAGACAGCAGGGTGGAGCAACTAAAAACAAACGGATGTGGTATTAATTCATATATCCACATTGTAACTCACAAACACATACATACACATTTATAAATTGTTGTAATGTGATATCACTTCATCTATCATTTTGGCCATGAAATTTTTATACAAGCATTAACTTCAAACAGACCATCCAAACATGCATAAATTATTTTCAACTTCATCTATCATTTCATCTATCATTTTGGCCATGAAATTTTTATACAAGCATTAACTTCAAACAGACCATCCAAACATGCATAAATTATTTTCAACTTCGTAGAAAATCACTTGTACAACCAAGTTCCAGTTTTAGTAACCTTGTTGTTTGGTTTATGAGCTTTAGAAGCCAGGTTTTTTAGTTAAAACTAATTCCTTTTTCAGGCGCTGGATCGAATTGGGTAATAGTGAAAAAGGAAAGGCTGAAGATTCTTTTTGGCTGAAGAGAATCACTTTTAGTTTTTCTTTCAATGATTTTTGCTTACTTTATTGATAAAATATATTTTGATTTAACTTTTTAAAGTAGATTCAGCCAATTCAATCATTGTAGCCATTACATTAGCAACTTCGCAGATTCATCAGACTCAACCAATTTTTGTGCTACGAAATGGGCTCTAAAACAGGCACCAAAATGTCATACACCTAAAAAGAATCAGTTTTTTAAATAACAAAAAACTCCGATTCTGATTGTAACAAACAAGATGTTCCTACTATTAATAGACAGTAACAGAAACCAAATATTAATCCCAAATCAAAGTGGCCTATATCACTCTTAGTTCTCAATAAGTTAAAACCAACGAACAAAAACAATGAATTTGTTCCAGAAAGTCATTAAAAACAAAACTTCATTATAAAACAAGTAAAATTAGAGGTTCAGATAACTTGAGAAGGAAAGATACCCTTGGTGCCTTCACGAAGAGCCTTAGCTACCCGAAAAGGGGTTTTTCTGAGACCTTCTCTGTTGACATCCTCACCTAAACATTGCAAAAGGACTCTTACAGACTCCTCAATAGCCATACTTTCCGGTTCATCCTCAAATCCTAGATCAATGCAGTCTCCAAGACCCGTTCCATTATCAAGCTCCAAACTGTAATGCTCCTCAACTAAAGCTCCCATTGACAGAACAAAAAACCAATGCTTTTTTCCCTACAAAATGAAATCAGCAATTCTTTAACAAAGATCCGAAAAGACAAAAAAACTGAAGAATTTCAGCGAAAGATCTAAACTTTCAGCTAGCCGAATCCCGAATTTGGCAACCAGTCGATAAAATTCTGGTACGGGTAAGCCTGTGGTTTCTTGCTCAATATATAACAAAAAAAAGCATTTTAAGGAGGAAGAAAACGAAAAATGAAAATGGTTTGACCTTATGAAGGTTAGGGCTCGTCGCGGGTCAGTTGCAACCAGGATAAGAAATCAGAGAAATGGAGTGTATGGGATTCAGCTCGGTCAATTAATATTGGGATGTGTGATTAAGAAAGCACGGTACTTTTTTTAATATCCAATTTTTTTATTCTCAAGCACAGAAATTAAGAAAAATGGAATTGGTTTAAAATCCATTGTCTTTCTCAATAACGGACCAGTAGATTCAGAAAACGTTCACCCATCGGAAGTTTATAAAACTACAATGGAGAAGAAGCAAACCAGCAGAACAGTCTATAGGAGTCTTGTGAGGAGAAGAATTGAAATTCAAGAGATATTTCCTATCTTGTAGAATAATCAGAATTTCCGAATGTACTCATTCTCCGATCCGCTATGATGAAGTGGGAACGAAGACCGGCGAAGAAGATAGACAAAGGTGCAAACTGCAAAGTTAGGTATTAAATGTTAATCACATTCAAATTAACTTTTAATTGTTGTAAACTCTGTTAATCATTTTCATTTAATTTTCTTCTAATTATATATTACCTCCGTTCTTAAATAAATACAACACTTTGACTATTACACTATTCACATATTCTACTTTGACTACGTTTTATTTATTAATGTAATAATATTGTTTTATGAAAAAAAATATGGTTACACTTATCTCATTGTAAATTTTCATAATCTATTTTTTTTAATTTTTTACTAATAATTAATATAGATTTCTTTAAAGTATATATAGAGAGAAAATGCGTTTTTATTGACATTCAAATTTAATTTTGGGTGTTCTATTCTTTTAGTACATAGAATACTTTTAACTTTTAACTTTACAAATTGAAAATAAGAAAAATCTTCCCATATTTATTACTTTGAAAAATGTTCCCATTTTTGTTCAACATACTTTTAATTTACATTTTAAGGGGCATTACATACAATGTTGTATATCGTCCAATATTTCCAATGTCTCATGTAGGAAAACATTTTACAATAAATGTTGTTATAGTATCAAGGAAATGGACGTTAGACGCAATGTATAAGGATTTCGTTTGTGCAATTATAGTTTCAAACTTCCGTTCACCAAGTCAACAATGAACAAAAAACAATGCTACAAAGTAATACTACATACTAAATATAAAAAAATAATATTGTGTCTAAACTAACTTTCAAATATACATTTGAATGTGATAAACATTTTAAATTTTTATAAACATAGTTCTAAATTGCGGAACACAACACTTTGCGGCCACAATATTGTGGTTGTGAGCTATAGCGCAGCTACATCAGGTCGCAATGGCGGAGAGATTTTGATTCATGGGAAGTGGCCTGATAAGTCCGTATTTAGACACGCATTTAATGCGTGTTGGGGTCGGATTTTGATGGTTTTCCTAGATTTTAAGTGTTATAAGTCTCAATTTTAGCTCAAGTTTTGTTTACCGGACGTTGGTTCGAGTTTTGTGTTGTTTGGAGTCAAAATCAGGGAATTTGAGCCCAACACCGGTGCTTGAGGAGCAAACGGGATGATTCGAGAAGCATTCAAGAGTGAATTGAGAGCATTGTAGGTCACCGGGAGGTTCACGATGAAGATTTGAAGGAAAAAAAGTTCTAGGATTGGCTACGGGATCAAAAGGAGACAAAGAGAGGTTGAAAACGGTGTTCAGGATGACCTTCTGTCAATCGTTCAAGCATATATCTTTGTAGAAGCGTTCAAAGGACACGATTCAAGTTGCATCTGAAAGCCAACTTCAAGGTCTACAAATCATATGAAGACATCATTCCGAGAATCGGAAAGGAAGAAGGTGAAAAAAGACGATGAAGTCAGATGCTCCCTGTTGCGATTTCAGAATGAGACATTCCACCATTTTATTCATATCTCTTGATTGGATGATTCCAATTCAATTCCGCAAATTGGGGTGGATAGAGGACTTCATTATCTACAACTTTCATGAAGGACGTTTTGTCAAATTCGGACTAGATAAGCCGTAAAACGCACTGGTAGACACGCACGCGTGCGTGGTGGGACGCTCACGTGCGTCCGATGAAGAACTCGGTCTGGACCTTACTGCCAGCCACGCACGCGTGCGTGGCTAGGGACGCACGCGAGCGTCCCCCTTTTTTACGCGTTTCTCTGTCGGACGCACGGACGCAACGCACGCGTGCGTAGACGCCGTGCGTACCTAATTTGTTGCCTAATTCACCCCAAATTGCCTTGTTTCCTATATATACCACCCCCATAACCCTAATTATGGGGGATGGAACTTTAGAGAGAGATTAAGGACGAGATTAGAGAGCTTTTTCAGCCAGGTTTTTCAATTCCTTAACATTCTTTGTAAATTTCTACTTTTTGATTAATGACAATTAATTCTATCTATCCCAATTCTATTGATTCTTCAATTATGAATAGGTAGTAGTTTTAATTAGAGATTTGGGGTTGATGAAGGGGTTAATCATGATGTATGGCTAGGTTCTTGATGGATTTAATTGCATGAATGTCGTTTAATTTGTGTTTGAACAATTTAATTGCTATCTTTTGTAACCTAGAATGGCCACTAGAATTACAATTGCACATAGAATAAATTAAGAGAGATCTAATTTGTTCTAGGACACATTCACACACACTTAATCGTTCGCTAAGAGATTAGTAGCGATTAAGGAGCCGTAAGCTTGCTCGTCTTGGCAATAATTTAGGATCCTGTCGCATGAGAGATCTGCCTGGTCCCCTAAATTATTGTACTCTACGCCGCGAGAGCGGTAAGAACTTAGTATTGATTAGCTAGACTCAATTAAATTAAATTCATGTAATTAGGCCTGATCTGCCAGAAATCTGATTACCCTGGAATCAATCTCTATTCCCTTCGTCATTAATTAGAAAGAACCCATTAGTTTAATTTCTTTAGTCGCAATTTAATTCAACCAATCCATCTTGCACGACGCATTTATTTTACTTTATTTCTTTTTAATCGCTGAATTTAGTTAATCTTTAATTCCCTTTTGTCCGTCCCTGTGGAGACGATACTCGTACTTTCACCGCTATATTACAATCTTTTTAAGTGCGAGAAAATTAACATTAGTTTTTGGCGCCGTTGCCGGGGACGGTGTCGGTTTTAAGGGTTAATTAATTTCAGCGAGATTTTCTTTAGTTAGATTTTTTTAGTTTCTCGTAGGATTTTTCTGTGCTAACCTTTCAGGTTTTCTTTCTAAGAGGCATGAGATGAACCCATTAAGCTCAACTCCTGGAGGAACACCATTCCCTCAAACCTCCACGGGATATTCCTCATATACGCCATGCCCAACTTACATTCCTCTACAATATTACTCTCTGGCACCACAAAATATTCCATCTTCCTATTCTTACTCTCCAACCACACAACCCTTCCAAACTCAAAATTCTCATCATTATCTATCATCACCACAATTCCCTTGGACAAAACAAGGCTCCATTCTTGAATTTCTTCTCCAAACTAAAACTCTTGAGGAAGTGTATCATATTCTACCGAAGAATAGCATTTGTTCCTTTTGTGGAGGATGTCACCATATAACCTTTTGCCCTGTCAAACCTCCAAATGATCATCCTTACTGGGCAACTGCATACCCAACTTCTTCCTCCCCACAATTTACGAACACAAATGTTTCAGTCACTCCTACGTCTTTGCCGAGCTATGAGCCACAGGATGAATCTGAAGAGATAATTTCAGAGAAGCTGTCTGACCTGGAAGAAACACTCAAGAAATTAATGCAATTTCAACAACAACAAATGCAAAGTGAACAGTAAACGGACACAAGGATGCAAAACATGGAAAATCACTTGGATCAGCTGTTTAATGCCCTATCTGAGGAGTCCGAGAGATCCCATCCTAGCGACACAGAAGCCCAATCTGAGGAGATCAATGTGGATGATCATATAAGTGAGTCAGACAATGATGGTGGGAATACGATGGATGATACACTTCTTGATGATGTTGAAGACTCACCTATGTTTGAAGATGAAGAAGAAGATAATAGTGTCAAGTTGTTTTTCGAAGAATACATGAAAAAGTTTGTAACGACACAAGATGTAACGGATGAAGTCACAAATCACTATGATTTCCATACAGAAACTCACCAGTCGTTTGATTTACCATTAGTCTCAACACCTGAGGAGGGCAAGGAGAAGATCAGTCATGATGATGGTGCTACTGAGCTAGGTTTGGGTATTGAAGATGAGTTGGAAAATGATGATCACACGTTCCAAGAGAGTGGGGGTGAGAGTAACAACACTTTCCAAGACAACATTGATAAGAACGGTGTTACCGAGAGTTGGGATGCTCACATGGGGAGTGATATGGAGTCCGGAGGAGATGCTGTGAATTTTCAGTATAATTGTGAGGAAGAAAAATACTTTTCTATGTTACAGTTCGAGTTTGATGTTGCTACAGATCCTTGCATCGAAACATCTTTTGAGCCTGGAGTAATCAAATTTTTGACTCATGTTTTATGTCCACTCAAGGAGGATGTGAGGTTGATCCTCCAGTTCTGTGCTGATAAGTTTTTTGAAGACCATGTGATTCCTACATGGTTTCAAGAGTTTAAGAATTTGCGCCACCTAAGGGCATTTGTTGAGAGAAAGCTGGATACTTTGAAAATTAGTGCCCCACTACAGTCTGTGCTATTTGAAAGCTTACGAGGTATCGTCGGGAAAACGACGTTAAAAATAGCGCTTCTTGGGAGGCAACCCAAGCTTATTTCTGCACTTTTGTTTTCTGCATGTTTTTTGTTTTTGTTTTGTGTGTTTTTTGTGTTTCTGTCTTTGTTTTGTAGCTCAGGTCTTTTCTGGATGATGCGCCACAGTTTACATTGACTCAGTTTAATTCTGCACCAACCAGCGCCTTAGGGAAGTTCCTATTACTCTTACTCGCATGTGTTAATTGTTGACTTGAGATTATTTTGAGCACGCGTGACTCTTTCCTCTTTACCCCCTTGTGCATAGTGCATATTTGGTCATCGAGGGCGATGCCAAAGTTTAAGTGTGAGGGAGTGAATTGGGCAATCGGGCAGTAGTTGTTACATGTGATTTTCAGAGTTAGCATGCGCAGGTGTTAAGTGTATATTCATAGAAAATTCATATCAAATTTTTGAAAATTTTTCTCTAAACTGTGTCTTTGTGAACTCGCTAGCGTTTTGACTATGCTTTTAGGGCA